CTCGTTCCGAAGACATGAGGAAGTTTAAAAAACTTTATTGCATTTCCATTTCCTGCTGGAACGATCTGTTTCTCTCCCTGTTTTTCAGCATTAATATTGATGAATGATTCTAATTTCGAATACTTCGCCTCATATTTTTTTTGTGAGTGTGAATATATTTGAGAAAGATGAAAGCGGAATATATTTAATGGGGGAATTCAATTAATTCCAAAGTATTCGGATAGGTGTCGCATCGATCGTTCTTTAGGTGTTTGTAAAGTGTGGTAGTTTGCGAGAACGTTAACGGGCGACGATCAACAAGTTTAGGTGGAATGGAATTGGTGGCGTAACGTTAACCGTTTTCTATGTTTTACGTTATGTGTGGAACGGCGTTATTTGGTGTGGCTGCGGCTCGTTACGGCAGGTGTAGTGCAGCAGCACCAGCAGCAGCAGCATCTCAACTAATTAAACTAAAGTAATCAGATCGGATTAGCCCGCAAAATTCACGGGAATCCTCAATTACGGCGCGCGGAATCGCTGTATTACGCTCGAACTTTCCGCCAAACGGAAACCCTGTTTTCGTTGGGAGGGTTAGTCTACAGGTTATTACGATTCTTTACGTTTAGTCTATGTGGACTAAACGTTTATAGTTCGTGTATTTAGCGATACACAACTGTTTAATGGTCATTAGGATGTTAAATATGCAAATATGGTTGTGACTCAATTTCTGTACTTATAATGTTCATGTTGAAGCTAAAATTTTGAGATTAAACAACTAGGTAATGATTATTGGACAGCTAAATATGTAAATTTACAATATTAACATTATAAATCTTCAGTTATGAGTCAATTTATAAACTACTCAACATTTATTTAAAACAAAATAAACCCGGCGCATCCACCACAATTTCATACCCAATATAAATGAAACTTTTAAAAATTTAAGTTTACAAGACTTGGACTTTTTAAATATAACGATGAATTGTATTAACTGAAGATATTCCAGCACTTGCATCTCTCTGTATTACATAATATGTATTGTGCGAATTTCGATTTTGGCGTGAATGCAAGGAGCGTCGAGTGTGCTTTGATCCCGTCCAAATAAATTCGCACCGAAGAAGTACAAGTTTTTTCTTTTTCTTTCGCACACGACATTGGTATTCATAAAAATACTCCTCTTCGTACGTCCAGACAAGAATTCCGCTGCATGACCATCCACTTTCTGTCCCCCTTTTTCTTCGTCCTTTTAATAAAACTTTGACCGCAAACTTCTCGCGTCACCTTTTCCACCCCCAAATATTTTATTTTATTTTTTTCCATACCGAAAATAATATGTTTTGATTAATACGAAAACTTTTCGATCATCATGCGTTCATCATTTATTTTTTATTCAAAACTTTTTTACCATAAAAAAAAAATGTAAATGTATTACATTTTTTGTACATATTTCAATGTTTAAACTGTCATTACAAACGCATTCCAGTTTGTTTTTTTTTTTATGAAAATAGTGAAAATCATGTTAGCTTTGCCATTCCATTTGGCCTTTGATACGAACAAAACGCGTACGAAACAAAAAAAAATGACAATAAAACATTGACGTTTTAACCGCCTGCGCGATTTGTTTTCATATTAATAGAAACTAATTGAAAATCACGTGAAAAATGCAACAATATGATTTTTTTTTATATGACCAATTTTATATGATATTTGTTACGTGCGCATATTTTGTTTCGTTTTAAATATTTGAACATTACATGAATAGTTTAACAAACAAAAAAAAAAAACGCAATTTCACAAATGGGTTTTGTTGCTTATTTCGTTTTTGTTTTCGCGTTGACTATTCAGTTTCCATCAATTTTTTATGAAACCGTTAAATTTTAATCTTAACCTTAAACATGCTTTTTTTTTTATTGAAAACTAAATTTCAATTGTTAATAAAACAATCGATTAAATGGATTACTTGATTATTAAAAAAAATAATGATAATGGGATGCTGTACCAACTGTATTTATCGTATTCGATTTCAAATATTATTAAATTTTTGATGAAATTGTCAGTTTATTATCGCTAATAAAATTAAAAAAAAAAATCATACGCATCTGACTGACATTTAAATTAAAACAAAATAAAAACGTTTCAATGGTAACATGAAAAAAGAAATGAGTGAATGATTTTGTTGTCTGTTAAAAGTTGCGCGAAATAAAATGGATTGTTAATAATGTATAGATTGAAAACAAATATATTGTTGAATAAAAGTTTCGTCAAATAAAGTTTGCTTATTTGTGAAACTTTTATTTTTTTGTATTTCGTTTGGTTTGGAGAAAGAAGAGAAGATGCGGAGGCAAAAGCGCAGAAGATTTTAATAATAAATGAACGCGCGACAGGTAGGATGATGTTTCGCGAATCCGGCAAAGTTTGATGCGAAGGTACAGAAGATACGTCTTTTAATATATCAATTGGCTTCTGCATGGGAGATTAGCTTTGATGAAATGGGAGACAATGAAAGCAATTAATTAAATTTGTGATAATCTCTAATACGTTAATCCGGAACGCGTATAAATGAAACTGTATATTGAATCGATCTTATTAATTGTTGATAGTTGCTGTTGCGATGCAAATACCGGTAATAGAGGTCGCTGTTTCGCGTCCGGTCCGTAACCCAAATTTAATTGACAGCCTTGTCCGTGCGCTAATACACTCATTAGTTCATGTTCAGGATGAAGTCGTTTATAGCGAAACGTGTATTATCAACTAATTAGTTAGTGCATCACGTTTATCTATAAATAAAATGTACACTGCATGAATAAAATACCTATTCATTACATATCAATTTGACATATGTCAAATCAATGCGAACGTCAATGTCAAATTACTAATTTTTCAGGTTAATTAAAACAAAATTGATGAACTTTTAATCATCATTTCATTCAAACAGGAAAAATTTCCAACACTTTAACGATGAAAATGCGATTTAATTATGAAACTTTTCGTACCTTGCACACTTTCAGGTTTATTTTTTAGAAGTTAAAAAAAAAAGAACATAAATCGTAGCGAACGTAATTATTTTTCGCCTGCATTTCCAAACTATATATTATATTCACACATATAAAGTTTACATGAAACAAAAACCAAACTTTTTCATCCCCCGAAATTCAGCTTCAGAAATAAATAAAAAAATGTTTAATCTCTGAATTCATGCTAGATTATTCATTTTATCTCAATGAAACGTTAGTTAAATGAGTCTTTAATTATCGTACTTTAACATCCGATTATTTAATGGAATAATAAATTGGTTTTCCGTTTTTGAAACGGAAAATTTATTAACGAAAAAAAAAAAAATCATATTACGCGACCTATAAATCTAAATCTTCCTGCCTTTTGTGTCGTCCTTTCTTTGATAAATATGATCATCTCTTCGATAAATACACTTCTTAAGCTAAATCTTCAGTGTGCGTTTTCATTAAATGTGTAACGACGCGGAACGACGTTGCGGACGAACTAAAATCCAATTATCTAAACTGTTAATTAATTGTGTTTAAAAATGTGCGAGACAATTGTCGCATAGAAATGTTAAGTTTTCGTTCGGGTCCGAAACGTACTTTGCCATTAAATACACGTGTGTGTACAATGTACAATTGCAACTAATGAAGTACTGACCCTCTCGATTCGAATACCAAAGTCCCTTTTGTTCGAGAACAAACTTTAAGATTATCGCGCAACGGTTATATATATATATATTTATACACCGAGAAAAACGGTTTCAATTTGATTGCGTAAAGCGAAACGTGAAGAAGATGGAAAAGAGAGTAGAAAAAGTTGTCAAATTGTAATGCAATTTAATGAAAACGAGATTCTAATATAATCTCGTTGCTTTCGCTTCGTCGTCCACAAGTGGGCTTTAGAATTGTCCATTAAAAAAAAAAAGAAAAAACGTGAAATGTCAAAAGTGGATTTCATTATTTAATTTTTTTAAATATAAAAATTAATTGCGGAATTAAGTTCTTCGCAACAAAAGATTATATAAGTTAATTGAAGGAATTGCTGAGCAGTAAAACTCTGGGTAGATTACGTCTTGTGAGCTCTCTCGACAGACTTTTGTCGTTTTTAACTTCATGGAGACATCGATTTTGAGGATGTGCAAGTGTTCGTTGTTTACATAATTAAAGGTAGATTTGCGTTAATATTAGGTGGTTGTGATAGCAAAAAAATAATTTCCTGGCGCGACCAGCGGAAATTTGAGAGACTGAACTTTTATCGATTCGGATCGAAGGAAACGACGACCCGATTCTAATTCCGAGAACACACACTCATGTGCATTTCGTTAAATAAATAAAACAATAATTATGTGTTGCTATGGAAATGAAGACAAAATGTAAGTTTTTCTTAAGTGTAACTACGATTAATATTACGTTACGTTAAATTAAATTAAAACAATGTGTTACTATGGAAATGCAAATTAAATTACATCTCTCGTAAATTTTCGTCAGAGAGAGAAAGAGAAGGAAAATGATTAAATGATGCGAAAGTGTTTTAAATTTGGAAATCGTCGAATGTTAAATGAAGACTTTAATATTGTATTAGCAAAGAGGTGTTTAATTATATAACTAGTTTTAATGATGGAATGGCTCCGGGGCGCGCGTGGATCGCATCTCCAGGGAGGCGGCGTGGCCTAAATACAAGTCATTCTTGTTGCGATCAACATAGAAACACCGAAAAAAAAAACAATATTTGCGTGGAAATAATAAGCTGAAAAGTTGTGTAACGCCCGGCGCATCCACCGACAAAAAAAAGTGTTTCAATTAAAAACTCTCATTTTATATAAAATCAACGTTGATTTATCACATTTTCAATTAATTTTCTTCAAAATGTAACAACAAAATAGTATAAATATGTGATGAAGTGTCTTCTACTTTTGGTTAACATCAATTTCAGCGAATGCGAATCTGATAAGTGAGTTTTCGCAAGTTTCAATTTTTTTTATGTTTGCAAAGGTATTTGAATTATCTATGAACTTACTGGTTTGGGCTTCTTCGGACTTCGGGTGGAGAAGAAGAAGGTTTTGGAATCGGTTTCGGCTTCTCTCTCTCTCTCCCAATTTCTCTCTGGTAGCTGAAGAAGTTTCAAAGGTTTTGGAGCCTCTGAGTTCAACGGATGTGTGTTCGAAATTTGAAGCGCGCCCGCTTTTATTTACGTATTTCACACGGGGACGCAAGCGCCGCGACGTCCGGCCTTTCCACAGCCGCCCCCGCAGTTTTAACACATATATATATACATATATATATATATAGGGAAGGGATGATGATGTGAATGAGGTGAAGCAAATTAGACAACCTGCAACAAGAACAACAAGAAAAAATACGTTAAAATACAAGAAGTAAACTAACACGATATAAACTTCTACTTTTCAGCCCTCAAACAACTAATTGCGAGCTAACTAAATCCTAGATTAATCCACTCTTCTTTTTTTTTGCAAGAAATTTTTCTCCAATTATAAAGAAAGTAATCATCAAGTTATCAATTTGGATTTGTAAATAAGAAAGAAATGTATTTCTCATTTTGTCGATTCACCCGAATCGATTGAGTGGATAAGACAGCATAAAGCTATCTGCTTGAAAGTTACGTGGAGACACGTGAACTGCATTTAAATAAATAAATTTACAAGAAAAAAAAAATAGAAGAAATCGAAGATGTAATTGTGAAGGCGGCGTAAGATTTGGATCACATGCAAATATTTCCATTCACGTGCGAGAACATCTGCTCACTTAAATGACAATTACACAATGACATTTATTAATAAATCCCCCCACGTAATAACATCTCACGTATTTGCACAATGCACAATGATTTGTTCGTTTTATCTCTAAAAAAAAATGCGAGCAAAAAATTTACTATTTCTAACCGAAATTTGTTTATTCGTATGCGAGATTTTAAGCACAGAGTTTTTGGTTTAAATGCGGAACAATTAAACACTATAAATTCATTAAGTTTTTAATTGCCAATTAAGAAAATGCATTTACGTCGTACACACTCACACACACACTCACACATTGTACATGCACACGAGAAACTTCTTTCCCTCCGGAGAACCAAAATGACAAATAGTCAAAGTTATAATTATGTCATTTTTTGTTTTTTGTTTTGCTCAACGGTAACGTTGATATTTACGGTTAAATTGTTACCGAAACAAAAATTCAAAATAATTTTTCGTATTTTATTGCTCAACTTTGAATGAAGTTGAATACGATTGAAAGCGCATTTGAAAATTCGACCAATTTATTATACGTCTATTGTATAATTAACATGTATATTTGGAATTAAAATTAATTTTGTTTATAAACATATTAAATATAAAAAAAAATCTGTTAAAATCAAAGCAAATTTTTTTGTATAATATTATAAAATGCAGCATTCATTTTAATCAGAAAAGTAAATACAGTGGAACCTCGCTTAACGAGTTTAATCCGTTCCAAAATTTCGGGATTTTTACTCGTATAGTGAAACACGTTTTCCCATATAAACTAATATAAATTACGATAATGCATTCCTTGCGTTTTATTGAACACCTGCGTGAAAATCTATAAGAAACACCTGCATTTAATTGAACATCTGCAATAAGAAACACTTGCGTTTAATTGAACACCTGCGTTTTTATTGAACACCTGCGTGCAAATCTATAAAAAACACCTGCATTTAATTGAACACGTGCGTTATTATTGAACACCTGCGTTTTTATTGAACACCTGCGTTATTATTGAACACCTGCGTGCAAATCTATAAGAAACACCTGCATTTAATTGAACATCTGCAATAAGAAACACTTGCTTTTAATTGAACACCTGCGTTATTATTGAACACCTGCGTTTTTATTGAACACCTGCGTGCAAATCTATAAAAAAACACCTGCATTTAATTGAACACCTGCGTTATTATTGAACACCTGCGTTTTTATTGAACAACTGCGTGCAAATCTATAAAAACACCTGCGTGCAAATCTATAAAAACACCTGCATTTAATTGAACATCTGCAATAAGAAACACTTGCTTTTAATTGAACACCTGCGTTTTTATTGAACACCTGCGA